CATCCACAGGGTGTGGGTGTGGGTGTGGGTGTGGGTGTGGGTGTGGGTGTGGGTGTGGGTGTGGGTGTGGGTGTGGGTGTGGGTGTGGGTGTGGGTGTGGGTTGTGGTATGTGGGTTGTGGGTGTGGGTGTTAATTCTTGCTGCCCACCACGCCCACACGGACACCACCACCGCCACCCACACCCACACCCACACCCACATCCACACCCACACACCCACACACCCACACCGACATCCACACCCCACACCCGCGCCCACACCACAACCACATCCACACCCAGACACTCCCGCACCCACCGTCCGAATATCAGGTTCATTTTTCATAAGAGTCAACTTTCGACAATCAGAATGTCGAAATACCAACCAGGTCTCTGATATTTTGTACAGACATAATCCTTCTATGAAGGTATTGGATTTTTTACTAACAACAAAGGTGTTCAATGTTTGGTTTAGTAATTTCAGATCTATATGCGAGCCTCAATAAAAAGAAGCTGAACAAGAAAACATCAACCAGTCTAATAGGTATGACCTATGGAACAGAGCATAGTATCTTGTGAATATAATATGGATGTGGAACAAAATGTCATTGCCTCATCAAAAGTGATGCATTTTTCTCACGGGAACAAACTTCTAAGTACATCAGATGGTAGAACTCTTGATGCTCCGTCATCAGTACAAATATCAAAGCATTCTGTTGTTACAGCATGAAGGTCGGTCGATCGATATTTTGCTGAAAAAATGTAAAATAGAGGGAAAATTTGCCTCTTTTTTCAGATATCAGTATATAGCTATTTGGCTGAAGAAAGCTTCTGACATTTTCTATGTACAAACGTTATCCACAGCCGATTAGTATTATGAAGCTCTTAAGCTCAAAATCTCGCATTTCCAAAGACAAAAGTCAATGTTTCTGAGAAAACTCTGCTAAAAAACGATTAAAAAAATCAGCAAATATATATGGTAAATATCGTCAAAAACTTGATACGTATCTTGAATAATTGTATTGGTAAAGATCGTTGGATCGAGCCGAAAATTTCAGAAATAACGTAAATTATTGCCCTCTATAACATATCAAAAAATCAGCAAATCCCGGAATCTCACCCCATCGTTGATGTCCTACAATGACTGATTTTCTCAGCAAGTCACTTTTAAGAACTATTTTCGGCGTCCTTCGTACCTATTTCTACTTCTACATGAGCAATCCATTTTTGAACTCGCGCGGGATCCTCATGATCTGTCGGACATATTTTCAAATATATTTCTAATGCTTTGTTCATGCACTCGAGTGCCTCCTTCAGTTTACCATCTTTGTACAGTGCCCAAGCTAAGTTATCATAAGTCGTGGCTAACCAGGGATGGTGAGCTGGAAGTGAAATTACTTGGATTTCGAGTGTTTTATTGAAATATCGTACTGCTCTATCGTATTCACTACGCGCATAGAATAGAGCTGCTAAGTTACCATATGTTGTTGCTATGTGCGGATGATTCTTTGGAAGTAACTTTAATTGTATTTCTAGACATTTTGCGTACCATAAGAACGCTTTTGAATAATTTTTTTGTGCAAAGTAGACCTGACCGATATTGTTACAACATAATGCAATTTCTCTGTTATCTGGCACGAGCGCTTTCATTTCAATGTCTAGTGCTTGATTAAAATTGAACAGTGCCTTTTCAAGATTTCCTTGTGCAAAGTAGGTACTGGCAATGTTATTGTAGATCGGTGCTAATGCAAGATCTGTTGCAGCTTTACACTTCAGAGTAATTCTAAGGGACTTCTCGAAGTGTTCAAGTGCTTTTTCCCGCTCACCAACTTCATCGTAGATTAAACCAAGATTGTTGTAAACGCCACCAACGTTTTCTAAATTGTTGAAAATTTTGGGATCTTGCAAAGCCAACTGATAGTACTTTTCAGCTAGACCATACTTTGCCATCTCTAACATCAGTTTAGCCAAACTTCGAAGAGGATCTGCAAGAACGATATATTCTTTTATATGTTCCGTTAGTTTCCTCAGTTCGTCATCTTCTTCAGCAGTTAGTTTCAGGTTCACACGCCAAACACCAGCACTACTATCCAGCTCAACTGACAGTATTTGAAATACGGCTCCCATTGAGAATAATATTTCACCTTCATCCTCCTCGAATGCACTCTCTTTTGAGATATTTGCGTAAGGAAATTTGTTTACACTTTTATCAATATTTATGGAAAATAAAACACTTTGCACGTTGACAGAACCATCTGTGCGGCCACCACTGCGATCACCAGCATATAAAATTGCCAAATTTTCATGCATTGTTGTCGATAGAAAACCGCTTACTGAGAAAAATCCGCCTTTATTATATCGAATTTTCTTATCGAATTCTTCGGTGTCCATTAGCTGTCCACGGTAAACAGTTTCTACTGCTATAGCAGCGACTGCGTCATTAAGAGATGGAGTTGCCTGCTGCGTCGCGTGTCGTTCTTTTAGCTGTAAATGAAGATCCTTGCTAAAGTATCGTAGAGAGTAGAGTGTCTCGACGTCCTGCTCCCTATGCGCTTTATTCAATAGACGGTAGAGAAATATATCACGCGTGTACCAGAAGATAGCATTACAAGCATCATAATATTCTTCGAATTCTCCTATCGCGTTCATTTGTCTTTGATCATCGGCATACTTCTGCCGACAGAATTCAACCATTTCTTGTTCTCCTGATTCAATTTTAATCAAAATATCTCGTAGAAATTGTGCATACATGAATTCAGCTTCCTGTCGCTTATGAGATTGCATATCAGACGCTGGTGGTATCGTTGTTTGGCTGGTGGTCGAAGTGATGGTATCAGGTAGAGTTGAAGGACTATTAGCTACATAAGGTAGTGAAGTGACTGTAAAATCAGTATGCACAACTCTTTCTCTGCGTTTCCGACTGATATACGGCAGTTGATAAAGCTGATTGCATAATGCTTTCAGATGTGCATAAACTCCGTGCACTTTTGTCGTCTTTTCAAGAGGCTTCTCAGTCGTGTCATTTAAAATTAGAATATAAACTGAAGCAATTTGCAAGAGTTCTTCACTAAGTTGAAGAAGCGTGTTAACAGGTAAAGAAATTGTTTTTTCAGATGAAATTATAAGCACTTTCTTTGTCTCATTCTCTGTTATATCAGTAATATAGTCAATGCATTTGTTTGAATCACGAAATGTAACTAGATATGGATCGACCTTGCAGAGAGCCACATGAATCGCAGCGCCGGTTTTAGCTTTAGCGACAGCGGCGACATCATCATAAGTTTGATCAAGCCAAATAATAACGGAATCTACTGTCATTTGTCATGGAGACGCTCGTACCAGTCTGCAACTGAAAACATTTTGAGTGCTAGAATGAAAGAGTTTTTCTAAAGTATAAATGAGGTTGAATAATAATTAAAAAATTTTTGTTGGCATTCTTAGAAGAAAAGAACCGAAAAATACAGAACAGAAAAACGGACAAAGAAAGAAAAATAAAAAAAAAGAGCCACTTGCATAATCACACACTGAGATTGACTAGAGGCAGGACGTTAAGAAAAAAATCAGCATGCTTGTTAGGAGCCATGCCTATCTCCTTCTCATTACTGTTGCTTAGCAGCAGCCGTTGGCGTTTTTCTCTTCGTCCAATTCTTTCTTTCATTCAGATCTGATTCCTTTTCGTGTTCTCCATTTGTATTCACCCACCATGCTTTCCTATTCTTTGTTTTAAACATTGATTTTATTGTGTCATATACAGATTCACATGTCCCCCTCATTCTCTTCCCATATAAGCGACCTCTTTGCTGTGTATGTTATTTTTATCCGCCGTGCTATTTTAAGAGAATACACAGCTTTCGAGCGAGGTGAGACATAATGTTTGTCTTCGTGCAAATCCTGGTTGATTCTATCGAAAACACTAGAGTATTCTTAGACAATACGCGTAA